GGTGGTAGGGCAGCCAAGTCGGGAAAGCGTTCGCTCGTCCAACCGAGAATGCACGTTTGAGTGGGACAATGTGTGCAGCTATTCTCTGGTCTCTCCTTGATATTGCAGGAACATTGCAGACAGCAGTGTTAAACTATACTCGAACAATCACATCAAACAGCAAGAGTCAGCAAGTGGCTACCATGAACTGTACGCTGCCACGATGTGTCACACTTTTCTTATGGTAACTACCTGATTGCACATTAATACATAATAATCTACATTCACGCACAGGTTTCTCTCCCATTAACAGTTATAGAATCGCCATACTCCATGTAAGTGTTGTACTACGATTTGACTTTGTTAACACTTTGTTAACGACATGTCAATGTGGAGAGTACTGGAAGAGGCATGCACACATCCCCACATCAACTCTAAGTTCCGCACCAGCTCAAGGTGAGTAATGAAAGGAATATGCCCTGTTTGGACCATGGTGTACATGGCATTAGTCGAGTTAACATATTGTTGACAGTCATGTCGCAGAGTATGGTATCCCAGCCTTCTGTCGTGCTGGGATAGACTGGGAGAAAACATGTGTCTCGATGACCTTGATGACGTCACTGTAGTTAAGGAACCTGACGTCATGAAGGTTTTTCGCGGGACATATGGCTGCTCCCAGTCAATCCCAAGTTAACATGGAGATCATGATGTTATCTGTGTGACTCCTTCAAATCTCGGGTCACAGCTTATTACAATGTTTCCCCCCACACTGGAGGGCAAACAATTTGCTATTGTTAAGGAGGGGCGGGGTGAGTGCACTACAGCACTTACAGATATATAATGTTTTTCTTGAAAAGGCGATGTTCATGAACATTACAGCTATCTGTGATTGTTAGGAATAGATGGTGTGCTCACATATATAACCTGCTAGGGGCATATGTCATGTTAGGGACACGCTACATGCCAGGGACATTCACCATGTTGGGGACATATGGCGCGTCAGGGACATATCGCATCTTAAGGACGTATGGCATGTTAGGGACGTATATTATGTTAGGGACATGCTAGGGACATATGGTAGTTAGGGACATACAACATGTGTCAGGGACGTATCGCATCTTAGGGATGTACATGCATGGCATGGTAGGGACCTATGGTGGTGAAGACGGCAAACGGCCTGCACAGTTGCATTACAATAGAGCAACAAAGGCACCGAGTTGAAGGGTAAGCCAGGTGACTGAAGTCATCGCTCGTCATGGTTCGATTCTCCTCATGGGTATAATGTGTAAAGAGTATTATAACAAGGACATCAGATCAGCTAAAGTGATTTCAAGCAGAACAGGCATCCCTTTGTCCAATGTTTATCGTGTTTTGAAAAATATCGCAAATGGATATGGCACTGAGCACCAGGGAGGCGCAGGTAGGCCCAGGTAGGCCCAGAAAATTGACTGTCGGTGACAGGAGGCGGCTTGGTATTCTTGTTTCTAAAAAACAAACGAAGGAGTTGAGAAAACTTAAGGCTGGATATGATTGATAGAGGAACTGTGGCTGTCTGTAAGGAGACAATTAGAACTGAGCTGCATGCAATGGGTTGGCAGAAAAGTTGAGGAATTCCATCACCGATCATGAAACCTGAACAAAAGGAGCGAAGGTTGAACTGGTGCTTACAGCATAGAAATTTTAACTGGGACAATGTGATTTTCTCAGATGAAAGTTCTGTGTGGCTGTTTCCTAATACACTGAAATTCTGGACCAAACAAACTGAAAAACCTTTGTATCAGCGCCCAAAGTACAATCCGAAATTTAACGTGTGGGGTGGCATATCTATGTTAGGGGCAACGCCCCTCTGCGTATTTGAAGGGAATATGAACAGTGAGCGGTACACAGATATTCTCGAGGGACATTAACTTCCATCTGCTCACGTGTTCTATGGAAATGTTTGGATTTTCCAGCAGGACAACGACCCAAAACATCGTTCAAAGCATTCCCAGGCCTGGTTTCGGACCCAAAATATGACATTATTAGATTGGCCAAGCTATAGCCCTGACCTAAATCCAATAGAAAATGTTTGGGGACTTATGTGTCAATAAGAAAAATCTGACAAATATTGCTGAAATGAAAGAAGAGGTGGTCCGATATTGGGACAGCATGGACCACGACTTTCTAACTTCTTTGATCAGAGTATGCTCCGCCGCATTGAAGCCTGCATTGCTGCCCATGGTGACTTGACAAAATACTAACTGTTCACCTGTCTTTGAATCTGGAGTTATGTTTTGCTAATATTCACATTTAATACGTGAGTAATGAGTGAAAAAAAATAATAAATTACAATCTTTAAATTCTCAATAATTTCTGGTAGTACTTTATATCCAAGCTCACTGAACGTCGTCTCCAGTCGCCTCATGGGCCACCTTTCCTGGCATAACCTCTATGAGGTGTTCCAATCAGCCTACAGAGCACACCACAGCACAGAGATGGCTCTGCTGAAGATCCTGAATGACCTACGATGTGGTATTGACACAGGACAATTGGCCCTGCTCACATTACTTGACCTAAGCAGTGCCTTTGACACGATTGATCACCAGAGATTCCTCAAAAGACTTGATACAGAACTTGGATTCAGCTTTATCCTGGCTGGCATCTTATCTACAGGACAGACTCAAACCGTTGTTGTTAGTGAGTCTGTGTCAACCGCATCTAGGCTTGAGTGCGGAGTCCCTCAAGGATCCGTGCTTGGTCCGATCCTCTTCACCCTCTACACTGTTCCACTTGGCTCTGTCGTAGCAGACAACAATCTTGACCACTTCTACGCAGATGACACGCAGCTGTGAAAGTTATTTCAACCAAACACATAGTCAGCTAGAGCGTCTAACCATCAGACATCAGACTGTTGCCAGAAGATATTCATGGATGTCATCAAATGCCTTGAAATTAAATTAAGAGAAAACAGATTACATTCTTCTGGAACAGGCTGGAAAACGCAAGCAGTGTGACATTACTAGTGGGTCTGTCTCTGGAGCTACCATTCCTCTTTCTTCCACTGTCAACGATCTGGTGTTGTCATCGATGAAGATCTAAGTATGTAAGAACACGTCAAGTATGTTATTAAAACTTGCTACTCCCATCTCCACAATATCAGCAAGGCCAGACCGTTTTTACCAAAGATGCCTCCAAAACTCTCTGCCTCAGCCTAGTCACATCTCGTATGGACTACTGCCTTTTGGCCGGATCTCCATCTTGTGTCACTGACCAACTCCAACGCATACAGAATTCAGCTGCTCGCATTACCTCCCAGATCTCCAGACAACAGCACGTCATACCAGACAGACAGACATTTTATTCAGTAACAGGCCCCGGCCCAATATACAATCATGATAATATGTCACACCTCAGCGCATTGTACAGTATTTGCAGTTTGTGTTTCTTGTATACATGATATAAGAATAACCATACATTTATTATCATATCCATATTTTCACTCTGTAGAATAGATATAAAATTTATAATTGTGGGGAAGTTACTAAAATATTTCTTAATATATTTATTCTATACTAGAGTATGCCTCACACACATAAAATACATGCCAGTCATCTTCAATTAATAAAATACCATTAGACTTACAGTATAGACAGTACATTTCATTTTAGTTAATATCAGAATATCTGCCCCTTTCCACGGCTAGTCTAAAATTGCAACACTGAATCAAGCAAATATAATTTTTAGATATTGGGGAAGCTCATTACATAACAAATACCAACTCTATAGGACCTCCATTGGCGGTCCATTACACACAGAATCTCCTTCAAACTACTCTGGCTCCAGTCTACCTCTCAGATCCTCTTCAGGCTTATGCACCATCTAGATATCTGAGATCAGGGAATCAACACCTTCTTGTCATCCCCAAAGTCAAACAAGCTAAATATGGACACCGTGCCTTCTCCTATGCTACTGATGAAAAAAGACTTCTCCCCACATTTATTTGTATATATTTCTTTACACAGATTTTAACCATTTTAGAATGATCCGATCTGATGACTTGAAAATTATTTCAAGGGATTTTATTGAGAGAGTGTGAAGCAGATAATAGTGTTTTCTCCCAATCATTTCATTATATTCTTATCTATTTTCAAAGAACTCTGCTTTTAGAAGAAAAACTTAAAACGTCTTTAAACGTATTAATAAGAAATTGACCAACTACATTTTGAAATAAGGACTGCTCCCTAACTGACAGTCTCACCAAACAGAAATAAGCATCTCTCTTTAGTTTCATACATAACTGTTCTTTCACTTTTATTAATTACTTGATTTATATTGATGTGATAAAATGAAGCAATAATATACTTACAAAATGCACGAAACCTACATCTGCTTAAGTTCGTCTGCTAGCTACCATTTTGAGAGAGGGAGTGTTCATCATTTTTATTATTTCTAATTTAAAAATAAATATATTTTAGGGTTTTCTCTCAATAAAATATTTCATGAAATAGCGAAACACACTTGGATAAAGTTAATACGCTCAAACTTTAAATATTCAACTCATTATGACCTTCCGACCTTTTAGCAACCTTTTGCACAACCATTTTGTACAGTGCTCAAAAGTACTATTTGCACCATATTTCAACTTGGAACCAAACTTTCTATTTAACTAGCATGTCTGATGAATACAAAAACACAATGTCTTGCATTCATCACAAAACTTCCACGGGACTTGAATGCTGTACCCATCCTACCAAACTTGACTTCCGGTGTATATTTAAAAAAATAGGTTCAAATACTCCGTTGATACTTAAATGTCATTTCCAATATTACGACGTTTCTTTTGCCTTTTTGTTTATTATCCTTTTGTTATTATCAGTTAACCTTCTCGTGTTAATCCCTCTCCTGTCATATTTCACTAATGCCACATTGTAATTTAATTGCCTTGACACAAATATTAGTTACAATATCAGCTGACAATCGCAATACACATGTGATCATTACAAACATCTTGCATGTATGTTAAGATAAAACATATTTAGAACTAACATCTGTGCAAGTCTTGATTGGTTTCAAGAAACACGTGATGCACATTTTTAAATACTTCAAATATCAATCATTAGCACTATGTCTGCCTCCGTGATTTCAACGGTAAGTGCAATAGATGGCCTTCTGTTTTGGCAATCAAATCTTATGCCTTCTTTAAATCCAATTGTCCACTCCATTATTAGAAAGGGGCTTTAGCTTTTAACAATTCAAGCTGGTAAGGTCATCAGGCATTACACTCGTAATCAGCCAAACTCGGATGTGAACCCTGAATAGCCAATACTTTAACCACTTGGCTAAACAACAGCTCGATTACGAATGTGTGTACGAATAATTGTACTGATCAGAATTTTTTCTTTAATGTAACATCGACATGCGTTTAAGATAAATATTATTGATCCTATTTAGATAGTATTGAAAATGGTCTCATTGGAACATTGTGAATGTGTTGCCCTGTCCTGCTTGTCCTCCGGATTTAGAGCCGATTGAACATTTGTGGGACGTCTTGCCTAGACGCATCCGAACGAGGAATCCACCGCCACAGACTTTGCAGGAACTCTTCCAAGCGTTCCAGAATGAGTGGCAGAACATCCCACAACGCACCATTAAAACCCTAGTGTCCTCAATGCGCCGACGATGCATTGCCGTTTTCAACGCAAACGGGGGTCATAATCGCTACTGAGAAATGAGCACCCCCTTTCTGCATGACTTCATGGTATTCCGTGTTTGCTGATTGAAAAACACATGAATAGCCGTGATCATGTTCAGTGATACCATTGCTTATATGTTCATTACTTTCGCCTATTTCTGATGTAATTTTCATGTTCATAAATTGTTTGAAAAATTGGTGTAACAGAACTTTTTTGGGAGAGTATATCTACCTGTGACAAATCCCTTTTGGTTTTCATTAATGACTGTTGGAAGTATTGCTTTAATTCTATTAGCGATTACTGCAGATGCAACTTTATATGAGGCATTTATTAGACTAATGGGACGCCAAGATTTGAGACATTGTTTAGGCTTATTTGCTTTAGGCAAACATATAACTAACCCTTGTTTCTGGGTTACAGATAAGGAACCATGCTCATAAGCATAGGTCAAGGAATTAATTAAATAATAGTTAAGATCATTCCAAAAGAATTTTAAAAATTCAGTAGTGAACCCATCAGGTCCTGGTGATTTTTCATTTTTCATTTTTTTTAGTGCCGTCAGACATTCTTCATATGTTATTTTACCTTCTAGATTTGATGATTCCTTAGGAGATACGTTTGGAACATCTGTCTCGGAAAACAGATTCTCTAGATCAATTTCTGTGCATTCTTCCCTGGAGTATAATGTTTGGTAAAACCGTTTTGTTTCTTCTAGAATATCACTTTGCTTATTTATTACAGAGCCATCGTTTCTTACAAGTTTTGAAATCGACTTATATACAACACTCCATGACTCAAAGTGCAGAAAGTATTTGCTTGTTTTTCTCCATGTTCTATCCAGGTCGCTTTTGATCTAATGAAGAGTCCTTGGGTTTTCTCCTTATTTATTGTTTCTAATTCTATTTTTATTTCATTTAACTTATTCAATATATTCTCCTTTTCAGTCATATTTTCCTCTGTTTCTAGTCTAATTTCTAATTCTTGTAATTTACCCTCAAGTTCTGTTTCTTGTTTAGTTCTCTTGTTCTTCTTTGTTGATAAGTAATATATAATCATACCTCTAATTTCAAGTCGCAACATTTCCCACAGTAACTGGTCATTTAGTTCATACTTCAAACCTTCCTCTTCCTGGTTAGAGATTTCATATTTCTGTAAAGTAGCTCTTATTGTTTCCTTAACCTTTCTAATGTATTCTGCATCGTGCAATAATGAGTTATTAAATATCCAAAATCCTTTACCTCTTTCCAGTTGTGCCGAATTGATTGTAATAGATATTATTGAGTGGTCAGAATTAATACTTGGAATAATATCTGTGTCCGAGACTGAGTGCATTAGATTATGAGAGATCTAAACGAAAAAGAAATCTCGCAAACTAGATTGCTTTTAAAGGTGTTTGTTGTCTTTAAGCAAAGTAAACCGTCTTTCGTTAGGGTGAATCTCACGCCATGGGTGCTTTAAGTCTAACAAATCAATTATCTCCAAAAGTTCAGTTCCAGCTTTAGGATTATTTATATGCTTATAAATATATGTATCCTTCTCACTATCTAATACTAGATTCCAATCACCACAGATTATTGTCTTCTCACTTTCCATATTCTCAACAGCTGTTTTAATATGTTTATCGAAATCTGGATCATCAATATTTGGTCCGTATAAATTCACTAGTGAGTATACAACTTTATTTATTTTTAGTTTTAATGCAACATAATTACCTTTCTTCTTGTCTATTACAGTCTTTAGAATGTCAAACTGAAAATCATTGTTGAAGAGGATGGCAGTCCCTCTTGCCTCTTTTCTAATGGCTAAAGTAACATCCATTATAACCCCATTGTTGTTTGATTAAATTGCCTCTTCTTTGGTAAAATGTACATCTTGAAGACCAAAAAATCTGTGTTTTCTTCTTTCTTGGGAATCTAAATACTTGTTTTCTTTTAAAATTATTATTTAGGCCTCTACAATTTAAAGACAGGATTTTAAACTTTTCCTGATTATCTTTCATTGATGTAAACTAATGTGTAGTTCATTAGGGTGCCCTTACCATGAATCTATAAGTCTCATGGTAAACATCTTGGAAGTTTTCAGTTTTAAAATTTTAACTCATCCTTTTCCTTGCTCTTTTGTCTTCTTCTTGATACAGAAGCTGTTTCTACAGGCCATGGTCTTCGTTAATAAAGAAGCAACAAGATTCAGACCAGAAACCACCTTGCAGATCCATGTTAGAATTTATCTTCAACGACGACTAGTGACGAGCAGGAATCGCTGACCTGTTTGGTGCATGGCTGCTTAGAATGATGCTCGTGATATCAAATATTGTATTTTCTGGTCCAGACTCGATTATTTACAGACGTCTCCTCAAATATCAGTTCTGTTGCTTGTCAAACCAAGTCATAAAACAACCAATACCAGCTTTGACATCGTACACCATCGGCGTGGGTCGTTGCTAAAGCTATCACCTGTTGCTTTGTTTCACTGGGTGTCTGGAAGTTTAAACATCAACTGACTGCTGAATTACCGAATTTATTGAAGCAGTTTACCACCTGACCGGTTCAGTCCGAGTACAAACATTATTCTGTCTTGCAAGCATCTGGGATTATTTTGAATTCAGTAGTAGATGGGGTAGTCTAGTGGTTAGTGCTCGTCACCATGACGAGTCGGGTTCGATTCCCCACATGGGTACAATTTCTGGTGTCCCCCGCCGTGAAATTGCTGGAATATTGCTACAAGCAGAGTAAAACCCTACTCACTGACTCTCATCAGCCGCACTCAACACTATTTCAGCTGTATGACGACGACTCGGAGACTTTGGGTCAAACCATTCAGTGACTGAAATGTAACTAACAATTCACCCTGTCGGGGTATGATCATATCTGGCTAAATCAGGATCTTGACCAGTCGTAAACCATATTGATTGCGGGCGGGTGATAAAATTAAAACATTTGTTGGTCATTTATTGTGTAATTTATTCTATGATATTTCAAAATTCAAATCACTTGTTTATTAATCAATAAACATCTAAATTTGCATGACAAAAGCACAGTCGCTTTGATTAAAGAATTTCTCAGTACATGTAAATGAAGAAAGCTGAAGTTGACCGTTGAAAGTGCAAACGGTATTTTACGTACCACATCTGGACATAAATTTCCCAGGCTTCTTCATAATATTTTATGTCGGAAATAAACTAGCGTCCAAAAGAAACGCCACCAAACAGTTTTCTTCACTAAAACACAACAAAAGCAAATTATGGTAACAAGAAGTGTTGTATTGTAAAACACAATCAGTCAGCAACAGTTCTTGAAACTTTTCAGTTAGAAAAACGAAACAGTTCGTGTTCTGAAGGCACATGGATGACACAGGGGTGCAGTGTCCAGTATTCGATCGCCAACGCTGATTCGTCTTTAAGGTCTCAAACTGTCCTGAACAACACAGATGATTCAGTATCGTGTGTGGCCACCCCTAGCAGTGATGCAGGCTCTAACGCGGCGTCGAACTGAGTATGTGAGCCTTCTGACGTCATCATTAGGGATTCGGCGCCATTCCTCTTGCAGGGCAACTGCCAAAGCGTCCCTAGTCAATGGCGGCTGTTGACGTTTCCGAATACGTTGCCCCAGTTGGTCCCAGAGGTGTTCGATTGGAGACAGATCGGGTGATCTCGCTGGCCACTGTAGCAGGTTGACGTTGTTAGTGTTGAGGAAGTCACTAGTGATCCGAGCTGTGTGAGGTGTGGCGTTGTCCTGTTGAAACAGAGTCCTTGGGTGACGTTGCAGGTAAGGCAGCACCACAGGCCGTAAAATCTCGTCGATGTAACGACGTGCGGTGAGATAACCGTTGATGATGACGAGATCTGTCTTCTGGTCCCCGCAAATTCCGCCCCAGACCATAACGCTTCCACCGCCGTAATGCTCCACTTCTTGGATGCAAGCAGGTGCCGTCCGTTCGCCCCGACGTCGGTAGATTCGAACACGACCATCAGATTTGAAGAGCTGGAACCTGCTCTCGTCACTGAAGAGCACTCTTCGCCAGTTTCGCTGCTGCCACTGCATTTCGGTCCTGGCCCACCTCAATCTGGCACGTCGGTGTCGGAGCGTTAACGTCATGCCCTTGAAAGGTCGATAGGCACGAATACCATGCTGACGGAGTCGTCTTGCTACGGTCTGTCTGCTGACTGCATGTCCAAGGCTATTGGCGCTTGATGACGTCACAGTGAGGTAGCGGTTTCTCAGATGAAGCACCCGTAAATATCGATCTTCCTGTGGGGTCGTGACCTTGGGTCTGCCACTCCTGGGTCTGTCAGCAGTACTGCCAGTCTGTCTGTGACGTGTGACAAGTCTGGCGATGGTGGACTTGCAGCATCCCATGATCCTGGCCACGTGCTCCTGTGTTGCGCCCATCTGAAGCATACCAATTGCTCTTTCCCTCTGTTCTTTGGTCAATCGAGGCATGTTGGCTGCTTTCAATCGTGTCACTGGGAATGAGGTTGAGAGAACACATCTAGTCAGGTTTTATACCCTCATGTCATACGGGTAACTTTGAGCACAATTTCCATTTTTTCTGTGCGAATTCATTTAACTCACCAATCATCAAAATCTCGTGCACTTGTTCACTGGGAATAGACAGGTTGTGTTCGAGGGATGTGTTTTCAGCCGTTTTTGAGCAGATTGGCAATTATTTTGACAATTTATGATAACTTTTATTTTGGTGGCGTTTCTTTTGGACGCTAGTTTATTATTACTGAATGTGTGTTTGAATTATTGTACTGATTAGAAATGTTTGCTTGATGCAAAATCGATATGCGTTTGGGCTACTTGGATAGCATGGCTTTAAATCTGAAGTTCGGAGACCGAGGGTGGTATTATGACCCAGGATAATGTCGTACATAATGAATGGATTCCCGAAAGCTGAAGCTCCAGGAACAAATGCTGAAAGCGGCGTAAAACCCGCCCCCGTTACTCACTCATTCCAGCGGTGCGTTCAGACTGTATTTCTAATGATTTGATTCATATCCGGTCAAAATAATGACACACACGAAGTTATTATTATCATTTACTAATCTAAATTTTCGGGAAAATAATATAGATTATACAAAGAATTTAGCATGAGTAACGGGCGTTTTGGACCACTTTCGCTCATGGCGTTATTTATGGCTAATTAAGCTCCCAGTGGCCTCTTACAAATTGCGGTTGACGAGCGGGAACATAAAACGATGTCCCTGCCCGAAAGAGAAATTTGTTAATTACGAATCCACATTGATATCGAGGAAACAATTCAGCGTTATTCCCCAATGATTTCTTGGGTTTTGGTAAGGAATGCTTGATGGGCTTGTTCTCTCCCCAGTTCTATGATTTTTTCCACTGTCTTTGCTAATGCCATAGGTTTTACGAGACTTTGTTCGAATCTCTTGTTTCATCGGTTGTACTTGGTGAGTTCTGACATCACTAAACAAAACTCTTCTTCGGATATCTTACTATCGGAGAGTGCCGTCGAGATATGATCCTCGATGCTATTTAACTTAACTTCGGCTAGAACGCAAATACTATCGTGTTTCAAAGCCTTCATTTCCAATCGACGCGAAATAAATTTAAGAGCTAATCCCGTGAACCCCGAGTCTCCCGATGCTATTTCCATAACGAGGACGACAGGTGCGGCAATGATAGTGGATAATAAGCCGACCCCGGCCACACTGAGCCCCATGCTGGATGTTACGAGGGACAGTGTCCACTCCGTCGATAGTATTAATGGCTCTATGGTATTTTTTATGTAATCCGAGTCGCACATCACGCTCCTCTTCTAGTTTGTCATAGACGAAAGCCGTCCACTGTTTCCAATTTTTCATACACTTCATCTATGATGGGGAACAATCCCATCTTATAATATAGGTTATGAAATAAAGAGTTTATACGACAATCTTATCCGCTAATTAGGTGTATATGTTCGGATAAATAAAAACGCCTGAGTGAAATGTGTAACCTCATATCATGAAAAAACCATGATCCTATCGAGGCTTGTAGAGAGAACTGTTCCTGGTTGTATATAAATACAGGCAACGTTGATATATTGTCATCACTCCAGCGTATTTTTAACCCCTCTCCAAGAAAGAGCTCTGTAATAAGTGTAGAACCTTGAACAACATGTACCCACGAATCTTGGTATATAAAGTCATCAGATTGTATTTCTGTTTTCCGTAAGGGTGGTTAACATCGTGCCTGTTGTATCTGATGTTACCATTACATACGTTGTCTCTGGTGAAGGAGAATACCCCCTAATATTAAGTTCGGTGACAAACCCATCATTACCGAGGAGAAAGTTTGATATTTCGACGCCCAGTCGAGTACATCAAGCCGACCTCTTGTTTCTCCCGGGGCGGTGGGGTAGCCTAGTGGTTAAAGCGTTTGCTCGTCACGCCGAAGACCCGGGTTCGAATCCCCACATGGGTACAATGTGTGAAGCCCATTTCTGGTGTCCCCCGCCATGATGTTGCTGGAATATTGCTAAAAGCGGCGTAAAACCATACTCAGTCAGTCAGTCTTGTTTCTCCCACACGATAGGGTTAGATACAAAACGTATAAATATGCCTGACCATCATGGATATCGCCAGTCGATACAAAGAGGTCGAGCAATTAACAGCGAAAGATTCGACTCAAGTTGCCAAGTCACTAGAGGCTACAGACATGGCCAAGAGAATAACAAGTCGACCCCAGACGCGAGTTCATGGGCTCGTGTCGCAACTGCTTGCAACACACACGGTCGCGGCACAGCTGGAGCCCATCGCAGCTATATCGAGAGATTTTATTGCACCTTAGCCGAACGCTTATTCGGATATCAGTGCGGGAAATGATGACGCCTGATAAACGATCGACGGAATGGGTCACGTGTTTACCCAAAGTTGTGTCGGCGATCAACAACGAAGTGTCTCGACTCATCGACAAAAAACCCTGAGACGCCATTAAAATGAAATCCGGGACTTCTGAATAGTCTGCGCCATGCAGGGGCAATGAGAAGAAACTATCGGGTCGGGTCAGTGTGAGGTATTTATACCAGCCTGGTGAACTCGAGGGAGGAAGTCAACGACGTGCCACCGACCCCTTGTGGTCAATCAAAACCTACAACATCGATCGGGTGGATATCAAAGAAGACGAAAACCATTTGTATTACTTGAAAGACGGACCAAGCAGGGGATCCGTGCGAGAGGAATTACTCATAGTACCTCACGACACGATATTACCTCCTTATTAAAGATTTGAATATAGAGGTATATTATCATTATGTCGACCTTGATCAAGAAACAGTTGTTCCGTTACGTGGGGTGGATGTGGAAGGGCTCGATATTTATTCAGCCCTACGTCGAGTGATTAGTCAAGGCCAATTCAAGACCGTGTACAATAGTTTAGGTTTGGTGCGCACCAAACGGTTAAAACATCTTATAGATACTTCAGACCGTTATAGCCTCGAGATAAACCATCGCCCTGCTCCGTACAGAACCTCCTCCTTAGCCGACTTCGATGAGTCAGATCCAATCCATAGCATAATAGCTGTGAATGTGATTTTTAAAAACATTCTCTTTCATAAATAACGCCATGAGCGGAAACACCCGTTACTTATACTACTTGCAATGTTATTCTGTACTTCTCCATTCTCTATTTGTTATTTTAGGCTTGTTTGGGATATAAGGTTTACCCATGTGACACATGCTAGTGACATACTTCGATAGTTTTCAATCCTGCTTTCTTAGACAGACGCTAACACCATCGAGATGAAGTTCATCATCTTCTTCCTCTGTCTCCTTGCTCTGAACTTTGGCGAGAGGAAAGCCCTGATTGTACCGTGTAAGCAACATTCTAACGATCGCTTTGACATTTGAGACATTACGGCAAAGACAAGATACAATATGGATGCCACTTTCTTTATTATATTACAATGCGACCTTTCTGTATGGGTAAATATCTCTATCTTGCTTGACAACGGTATGAAGATCCATAACACAGACTAATAATATCCAAATCCAGAAAATGTGTATATATAAGAGTAACAAGCATTGACATACGAACAACAAATAACATGAGCCAATTTAACGAATGGACGGTTTTCCGTGTACAGTGGGTGAGTGGGTGAGTGAGTATGGTTTTACGCCGCATTTAGCAATATCCCAGCAATATCACGGTGGGGGACACCAGAAATGGGCTTCACACATGTGGGGAATCCAACCCGGGTCTTCGGCGTGACGAGCGAACGCTTTAACCACTAGGCTACCCCACCGCCCCTTTCCGTGTAGAGAGGGAATATGCACGTGGGTGTTGTAGAGGGTGGGTTGGGGGTTGGAGGTGGGGTCTCAGAAAATCGGCCATTTTGTTTTTATGACGTAATCACACAAGTTTTACAGGAGCGCAAATAAAAGTTGTTTTCTCAGTTTAGTGACGACCAAGACCTCAACTGCCTACTATGTCCCATATCCGGTCGCACACTTAATGACGGAAGCTGACCACTTTTGAGTATACATTCATTGTAGGCTTTGCGCCATTTACATACTGTTAAAATATTCAGGCTATCGACAACCATTCCCTGTACAGTCTGGCCTTAAAATACAATAAAACACAATTTCTGGACCGCACTAAATACTTAAAATTGTGATGTGTTTTAATGACTGGATGGATGTGCTTTTAAGAAACATAAACATCTTACACTATTTCACCCAATCACTGCTGACACATGTCTCTTCAGTTAAGGCCCAGCTCAACGAGCAAGCAATTCTGCATTTTGGCACAGCTACAATTGTTTTCTGTTCACAGATATGGAAAATACATACTCAGAACTTCTGAGTTGTTCCTTGTACCAAATCGCGAGTGGTTAAGAATGGCATCTGATGACAGCATAATCTATTTTAAACTGCCTAGTGGTACCTTTCTCTGCAAAATGCGCTCTGATATTTCACGGCTTTTGACCTAATAAATAGCATCTAAATTCACCTCATATGCATAGTGTCATATTAATTCTACGTTGAAATAAGATTTTGCTGTGTGAACACTTGCAAATCAAGCTCATACCAGACATAAAATAATTGAATAATAATCACAGACCACTAAGGTCAACCTAAATGTCACACACACACCTGGGTCGGAAGGGGATAAAAGTAGGGTTGGGGTTCAGGGTTCAAAACCCACTGCCCAAATCGATTAGGTCACACAAAAGTCACACACTAGTCTTGTGTGATCACATCATAGAAACAAAATGGCCTATATACTGAGACACACAACCCTCTCCACCTACAACACGTGGGTGCCCAGGGGAATTGACCCTGTGAATATACAATGCGAGAACATTTACATGTTGATCATCATTTCAGTTGGAGAGATCATCTAGATGTATTAGAGTGAGTGAGTGAATTAATGTTGACTAACGCCATATTAGCAATATATATCAATGTTGTAGTTGACCCAGCAAAGGACCCAGTTCTCGATCCGCGTATACTTCAGCGTAATAGGTGTGTCGATGTTGCCCTTGCCAGCACAGAGCAGGAGTGCGTACAGGATTGTAGAATAGAGTGCTTGGACGCCAATTCCAACGACAACCTCGAACTTGGCTGCGAATTCGCCTGCAAAGGGTACGTCGATGTATATAGGGACGGAGAATGACTGGTTTCAATACACATTCTCCGTGTAACCTTGAACCATTCTGCCCTACCGTAACCACAACGTCCTGCAGTAACGCCGATCAGAGTGACGTCTCTTGCTGTGCATTCTTGTAGCAATGATCAGTGTTCTCATATATCACTCATAGTGTATTCTTGTAGCAATGGTCAATGTCCTCTTATATCACTCACAGTGTATTCTTGTAGCTCTTAGTGTATTCTAATGGTCAATGTGTCCTATATCACTCCTATATCAACTCATATTGTATTCTTGTAGCAATGATCAATGTCCTATATCACTATAGTGTCCATGTCCTCCTATATTCTAGTGTGCAGCAATGATCAATGTCCTCACCATATATCACTCATAGTGTATTCTTGTAGCAATGATCAATGTCCTCCTATATCAGTCAATGTCCTCCCATATTCTTGTAGCAATGATCAAGTGTTTTCTTGTCCTCCTATATCACTCATAGTGTATTCTTGTAGCAATGATCAATGTCCTCCTATATCACTCATAGTGTATTCTTGTAGCAATGATCAATGTCCTCCTATATCACTCATACTGTATTCTTGTAGCAATGATCAATGTCCTATATCACTCATAGTGTATTCTTGTACCAATGGTCAATGTCCTCCTATATCACTCATAGTGTATTCTTGTACCAATGATCAATGTCCTCATAGTGTATTCTTGTAGCAATGATCAATGCCCTATATCACTCATAGTGTGTTCTTGTACCAATGATCAACGTCCTGCTATATTACTCATAGTGTATTCTTGTACCAATGATCCTTACGTAACATATGCTATATTTGGGATTACACTTTCTTACTTAAGTTCAGATTCTAGTGCTTTTGTTGGGTTGAGTCCCATCCGGGATAGACAAAAACACCTCAGAGTCAGGCAGTCAATCGACGCCTAACCCGCTCATTCAACGCGACTTCCACAAAAATGGAAGTCGGACAACTGGTACGGACTTTGTGTACCCCTCCGATAAGTGTAAATTGGCACGGCTTCCAAGGCCGAAAGCTATGATTACACAATACCATTTTAGAAAGTGCTCAAATATAACATATGTTATATTTAATAGCTTTTGTCAGCATTTAACAGTTTTCTGTTATTATAGTATTGCCCTGAACTTCAGAAACTGTTTTTTTCCCAGAGTCCAGAATCTTCTTAAATTGATTGCCGAAGCCAAATCCACCACCGCTGCTACTACATAAGGTATATGTAATCGGCCATGAATAAACTGTAACTTCTCCATCATGCATCTGTTGTTGCCCCAAATGCAATATTTTAGTACGATATCTCTGTAGTATACAACTGAACAGTACCATGGGTGCGTAATGATGTGTGTGTGTGTGTGTGTGTGTTGGTTAAGGTGTGATTCTTATCAGGGTAACAGTACATAAAGAGAATATCCTATTGCCCCCACTGTGTATGTGTGTGCGTCTGTCTGTGTACATGCATGTGTGTGACGCGATGTGGTGCGTGGCACGTGGTGCGTGGCGTGTGGTGCGTGGTGCTTCTTGTTCTGTTTGGGACGAAGGCTTTTTGAGTACTAGACGTCTGAGATACCATGCTACAGTTGCAAATTGATACCCCAGCCAGACACGACAGACCTGATAACTCCAACCGTCCTTTTCCGTGTCCTCCCATTACGCAGACAGGCAGTTCGCGGACGCCTTGAAACAACAACATTTACGGTTCAGTGAACAGATTATCTACTACCTGTTACCTACACATTATAATGGAATAGTAAAAAAAACACAAGAAAGAAAACTGGAGCTCTATTATTTACTTTGAAAGATGAATTTGAATTTTGATTGCTGCAATATAAAAACATTTGATTTTCATAAACATTTGGGTTTAACCTTCTGACTGAAAATCAGAATGTTTTCAAATATTTACATATCTATATCTCTCAAACAAAACGTTTTCTCAGTACATATTATATTATTGGGAGAGGGCTTTTGTAAGTTGGATAACTTGTGCCCAATCATTTTCTTGAATAAACAAAAATTGAGAGAATTCTGAGAAGAGAAGATAAATTACATTTAATCACAACAAAGTTATATTTACACACAAACTTCTCAGTAACGAACCTGTTTCAGGCTCACCCTACTCTACACAATAAACAGTGGACTGTTCCATTATACCCATAGGTGTTACCCTAATTAACCTTCTAGTTCACTGTCTGTCAAAGGACTGTCTATCAAACTGGTGTCTGTCAATTGGGAGATAACCTCCATTTCTCGTCATAATTGTCGTTAATGCTAATGGTCAGTTGAGTGACAACGAGAACAACCTTTATGTGTGACTCGAACCACTGAGCTCCCGCTGTCCGGACAAGGCGCCAGTCCACTACAAGGTAACCAGAAGCAAGACACGTTGATCTTGTGGGTAAAGAGTCATCCTGGATTTCACTTCGAGAGGTGTACAAAACTTGATAAATTGCCAGAATGACTTCAAAATAGCGGAACCGTCTTTCAAAGCTGATCGTTTTGTGGTGTCAGCACAATCCGGGCTTGTGGGTTTCACCTAAAGTAAACGTCTAACACTTTCGTCAGACATATATTGGAAGTCAGGATCATTTGGAAGCTCGACCATTTGTACATAAAAGAGAGAAAACTACACGCCAGAATTTAAAGAACATACCGTTCAAAGCAGTAACACCATACACTCACTCAGTGGTCACTCAGTCGGCGATCTTTGCATCAACATTTGGAAGACAGGGTCATTTGTAAACTCGCCTATTTGTACATAAGGGTGAGAAGGGTTACTACTTCGACACACAAAACGCACAGCGTGAACTTCCCAAATATGTGAAGAGCATGTCCATGGCCAGTTAGTTAGATCGGGTATTTCACCTTTGAAGGGTTTACCTTTCTTACAAATGTGATGTGAACTATTCTGTCCATAATTTCTAACACAATTCTCTGAATGCCTCAAATGACATCAAATGTCTCAAATAATGTCAGTATTATCGAAGGTTTGGTTTACACCCAAATGACTAGAAAGAGAACAACAGTGGATCAAACTCATCACATGTGCACGACAGATCAGTTGAACCACGATGTTCTGAAAAAACGCCCCCAAAACATCACAGTCTTCAGCAGAAACTTCTGGAGGATTCCATTTCATCATCAGAACTGGAGAACAAAACATGTATTTAGAACAGGCCCAGTGCATGCTTGTAGGGACAGCATTGCTCCTGTAATACTGTATTTTTTCATAAAGCCAACGTCCAACAAACCCCACAGATGTCGGACTGCAAATCAACAGTTGAGACGAGATCCAGCACATCCGCCATGGCTTGGTGTTCAACAAAACATCCGAAAATGACAGGACATCTTCGATTCGATTCAAAACAGAACTCACATATGAAGTACAAACAATATCATGCCAACACTTTTCAGTAACATGTTACATACATGTAGTTTCTTTTGGACAGAGTTCCTTCGTTCATTGAAATATTTACATTTAAAAACATTGTGGAATCCATCCCCAATTGCATTACTATCAGAGAATTTACACAAACATTCTATCCCATTTTCCGGTACGTAAGTCCCAAAACTTTAAAAGTCAATTTAGTATTCTTGTTATTTTAATTAGGAGATAAACGTACTGTGTTTGGAAATTAGATGAATGTTAGACCGAATTTATAGTCTCTAAATTTCATTTGAAGCCGAACGCATAGCGTGAGGTTTCAAATGATTAATTTAGAGACTATCAATTCGGTCTAACATTCATCTAATTTCCACACACAGTATGTTTATCTCCATTCTACCATAACCGATTTAACATCGAACTTCCTCGTCCTCCGGAAGACACTGCGTAATCCGGCATGGGATGAGACTCGATTTGATTGAACTCGTCTGAGTGGTAGCTTCCGTTCGTATTTTTTTTAACATTGCAAATAAGAAATATTCTGTCCAAAGAAAACAAACTACTGTTTATTCAATGCAATGTAACACCTAAGAGCATGTTTTTTTATAATCATAACTCCACCAGACCGAAACCAGCCTACTGTTTTGTGTGCCCCCCTGGCCACACTATAATGGAATCGTCTGACCTACTTATTTTCTTGGAAGTAGACAGTTACGCAACAGTTTGAAATGGCGGACGAGCCAGTGTTTACATTTTGCGAAAGGTTGAAATTCGAAGTGACAGTGGAAAATACTTGACTGACTGTCAAACCTAAACCCTGCAGAATCGAAGAATAGATCCTTTTCTGATCGACCTATGACCTGTAACTCATCAAAGACTGTTGATTTTTATGGCCGGCGAGTGTCGATCATGATTTCACGGACGTGCCTCCACCCCGACATGCGAGGAAGAATGACAGTGCTGCTTTGTGTACATGCGACTAACTTCGAATTCCTTGGAACATTGTTCTCATCATTTGGGACTGGATTGTGGCCAAGCTTTTCAAAGTGTACGAACATAGCAGTGACAGCCTTGCTGGGAAGGTGGCAGAGAACTTAATTATCATGGTTCAGTTTTTGACGTTTTGAACGATGCAACGGGACATGATGGAGTATGAGTGGCAAATTGTGTGTTTCGCCTGACCGTTATCTTGCGAATTTCCCATTCTAATCGGAAACAAATATACCATTTACCAGGTAGGTAAATGTTTACGAACGTTTTGCTGCACAAATAGGGATAGATAGGGATGTTTTTTTACAAGGTTTTCTGATTTATATGTTAGATATTGTTTGTTTATGTTTGGGGCTGTGTATTGTAAGTGAGTCTGAATATTTTTATAATAGGAGGTTATAATTATGATAGTGAGGTTCCCTAATAATTGTGGAGGAGAAATCGTATAATTGTATTTTTCGAGTTTTAATAAATGTTTTATCAGCATTTCCATTACGTCTGTTGTGTTGATATTAGTCATGTTGGTGGCCAAGCTGAAGTAGTGCGACAGTGTTGTAAACGTGCGCAGTGAAGCGCCGTGAAATCAGACGCATATTCAATCCAAATTGATACCGTCTGATTTTATGGATTGACCAATCAAATTCGAGCATTTCACGTAGCCATGGTAGAATTTTGGCTAACATTTCTTACGATCGCCAGCAGCTGAAGGGATTGTGCAAATCCAACTATGGTCCATGCAGGTAGCAAATGTACTGTAAGTCCCCATGGTCCCTAGTATGGTGATCTACCTTCAGTTGTTGGCGATATATAGAATGTTTATATTTTGTATTGTCCAAATAGTACTATTAGTTTTAACTTTCCAAGCTAGTTTTAATTCTAATTGTGACATTCTAGTTGTTGTACTGTCCTTTGACGACAGGTCTATATAATAACCACATGTTCCATTTCAATGTCAAATATGTTCTCGTCACGATATGACTGAAATATTGCCGATGTGACGTTAAATATTAACTCACTCAATCACTCTATCCCATCTTCCAGAGAAAATTAATTCAAAGGATGAGGGGTTGGGATATTAATTTTATGCAACATTTTTAATGACAAAGGTGAAGGTAGGGCCCCTTTGGTCCAATGGCACTTAATGTGGACACATACAATATTACAAATACACAAAGTTTGAAATATAAAGCAACTACTTCATCAAAACGACAGCATACACATCCTAGGTGTTACAGAACTGGCACCAGAAATATGATGAGAGTTGACACGACAAAAGCATAGGATGAAGTTTTTTATTTATTTTTGCCTTGAGTACATGATAATAAGAAATATATTGAGATTCTTGTGACAATTCAAAAAACCTGATTTCTCAGTTAATGAAACATCCAACTTGCTGTGTTCGCGTTGTAGTTGCTTGCCCGTTCTCAAGTAAGAAAAATATTAACGGAATATGATAGCCCTGGGTGGCATTTAATCGTGGCAGGGATTCTTGAGAGTGGCTATTTAACAAGTACTTTGTCAAATAGGACCAACGAACAATTGAACACGACCAGCTATATCGTCACGAAAAGAATCTGACATAATGTAACTGAGAAATTATTTGTTCAAAGCGTCAAGATACACTGCAACCCAAGAACTTCGTGAAACGTTAACACGTACTATGACATCAAATGATAGGCGACCACGTGCCATCGAGAATAGGAATTAAAAGTACCAGCTCCTGAATTATTGTATTCTCGAGCTGTGAACAATTTCAGCGAAATTCCGACAATCCATACAAGGCAGTTAAAAGCCCAGTTTCAACACACTACGCCCAACTTCAGCCAAAACACAATGCCTAACTCACAGTGCCTTACCGTCCAAATGAGGTGCACAACCCAT